GCAGGGGAGGTGGGTGGGCACTGTCTGCTCTCTGGGCCTTACCCCCACCTTCTGAGACACATCCACACGAGATAGAAGTTGAACCCTCCTGTCACGTTATAAAACATCACAGCCCCATCTCCTCCTCCCCGCAGCGCCTAAACAACCGTGTGATTTGACTTTTGTATGATTGCGCATCGAATGATGGCTGGTGACAGTACTTAAGCAGCAAAGTAAATCTGAGTATTTAATTCATATTATTTTTGTCTGACCTTTAAATACTTTTAGTATCCAGTTAATTACATTAATGTCCTCTACTCTTTTCACTTTGCACACATATACAACCATTCTTATACAGCAAAACACCGTATAATTTCATACTTCTTTCCATTCTCATGTTTATACTTGTTTCAGAATTCAAAGTATCACCCTATTGTAGATGACATTTTCAGAGACTATTATTTGCTTTTTTTAACCTGTATTCTTTTACTGTGATAAATCCCCAAACACTTCCTTATTCAGGTATTATCAGATGTGGAGGTGGTTGCTCAATTAGATCGCACCATAAATCTGTCTACAATTGTATATTTGGGGACACTGCTAAAGAGCTGAAATGCAGTGAAACGATACATCATATTGATTAAATGCTATACTACCGTGTCCTAGAAGCCAGTCATAAGACTTTAAAAACCACACACTAGGGGCGCCTGGGTGGCTCAGTCGGTTAAGCATCCGACTTCAGCTCAGGTCACAATCTCACGGTCCGTGAGTTCGAGCCCCGTGTTGGCCTCTGGGCTGATGGATGGCTCGGAGCCTGGAGCCTGCTTCCGATTCTGTGTCTCCCTCTCTCTCTGCCCCTCCGCTGTTCATGCTCTGTCTCTCTCTGTCTCAAAAATAAATAAACGTTAAAAAAAATTAAAAAAATAAATAAATAGAAAAAGCACACACTCGTCTTCCTAACCAGTGATTCTAGACCTCGTTTGATTTCATTGGGTAACAGAGTTCCAAAATGCGGTCCAGAGTTGTATTCTGTAAATCAATAGACTCTTTATCCCAGCAGTTACTGGGGCAGTCCCAAGCAGGGAGAAAACCTTGGGTTTATCCGTGGTACTACACAGAGCTCCAAAGGGGTACTGTTGAAGTATCAATCTAGGAAAATGGTTTTACATTCTAATATTCTCAGTAAATGAAATAGTGCAGGTCTTGGTACCAACCTAAGATGTTACCTTTATCCTGCCTCCTGATGTTTGAATAGGTATAGACTATTTACTGTAATTGGACACTCTAGGGATAACTTTGGGTTCTTTTGTATTTTTTATTTTTTTAATTGAAGTATAGTTGACACACACTGTTACGTTAGTTCAGGCGTATTACACAGTGATTTCACAGCTCTATATGTTATGCTGCGCTCACCACACTTGCAGCTGCTGTCTCTCGGCACACGACGCTGTCACAGTATCACTGACTGTATTGCCTGTGCGGACCCTTTCCTCCCCACGACTTGTTCCTTCCATAACTGGAAGCTTGTGTCTCCCTCTCCTCTTTTCCCGTTTCGTCCTCCCTCCACCCCCTCTCCCCTGGCACCCATTTGTTTGTTCTCTGTATTTAGGGGCCTATTTTTGCTTTTTCTTTGTTTTGCGTTTTCGATTCCACACATAAGTGACATCATACAATATTTGTCTTTCTCTGGCCAGCTTAGCATAATATCCTCTAGGTCCATCCATGTCGTCACGAATGGCAAGATTTCATTCTTGTTTATGGCTGGGTAATGTTCCATTGAATATACATACCTCCCTTCTCCATTCGTCTGCTGACGGACCCTTGGGCTGCTTCCATGTCTTGGCTATTGTAGGTAATGCTGCTATAAACATAGGGGCATATGTTTCGTTGGAATTAGTGTTTTTGTATTTTTGTGTGGATACCCAGTAGCGTGTCACCAGATCACAGAGTAGTTCTGTTTTACCTGTTTGAGGAACCTCCACACTGTTTTCCACTGTGGCTGCACCAGTTTGCAGTCCCACCAACGGTGCACGAGGGTTCCTGTTTCTCTACATCCTTGCCAGCACCTGTTGTTTCTTGTGTTGTTGACTTTAGTCATTCTGCCAGGTGGGAGGTGATATCTCGTTGTGGTTTTAATTTGCATTTTCCTGATGATGAGGGATGTGGAGCATCTTTTCATGTGTCTGTTTGCCATCGGGATGCCTTCTTTGGCAAAAAGAAAACGTCCGTTTAGCTCCTCTGCCTACGTTTTAATCAGATTACTTACTATTTTGGCGTTAGGTTGTAGAAGTTCCTTATATATTTGGATACTACCCTTTTATCGGTTACATCATTTACAAATATCTTCTCCCATTTAGTAGGTTGTCTTTTTATTTGTTTATTGTTTTCTCCACTGTGCAAAATTTTCTATTTTGATGCAGTCCCAATAATTTATTTCTGCTTTTTTTTCCCTTGCCTAAGGCAACCTGTCTAGAAAAAATGTTTCTATGGCTGATGTCAAAGAAGTTACTGCCTGTGTTTTCTTCCAGAATGTTTATGGTTTCAGGTCTCACATTTGGGTGTTTAATTCATTTTGAGTTTTTGTGTGTAGTGTAGGAAGTGGCTGAGTTTCATTCTTTTGCGTGTTTGGGTCCGGTTTTCCCAACACTATTTGTTGAAGAAACTATCTTTTTCTGTTGTATATTTTTGCCTCCTTGCCCACAATTGGCTGTATGGGTGTGAGTTTATTTCAGGGCTCCCTATAATGTGTACCGATTAATGTGTTTGTTTTTGTGCTGGGACCACACCGTCAGGCTCTGACTTGTAACTCCCCAAACGTAGGACTCCTGATGTAAATACTGAAAAGGTAAAAATTTGAGTAATTACTTGGTCTTCAGAAATACAAGGATTAAGTATATGCACATTCATATGAAGTTAAGGTTGTTTTTTTTTTTTTTTTACATAATTATAGTTTACACGTGATGAAATGATGCAAACTTCTGTTTAATTCATCTATCTCATCACACTGGAGGCATTACATACTACAAATCTTCTACTGTTTCTACTGTATTTTTTTTTAATTTTTTTTTCAACGTTTATTTATTTTTGGAACAGAGAGAGACAGAGCATGAACGGGGGAGGGGCAGAGAGAGAGGGAGACACAGAATCAGAAACAGGCTCCAGTCTCCGAGCCATCAGCCCAGAGCCTGACGCGGGGCTCGAACTCACGGACCGCGAGATCGTGACCTGGCTGAAGTCGGACGCTTAACTGACTGCGCCACCCAGGCGCCCCATCTACTGTATTTTATAGAGCGTGTAAGCATTGCTCAGAAAGCATGGTGAGCAGCCCCACTGTGTTACCCAGTAGACCCAAACTATAGTATAAAATGGTTCGTTTAAAGTGGGACTAATTAAGGGTTTAGCAACTACTCAGAAACATAAGGAACTTCTACGGAAAATCTAGATATTTCTCGTTCAAAGGAAGCTATCCTCAGAGCCCAAGTACAGTCAGGAGTTCACTGTAGTAATTGCCCTGTTCTCTAGAGTCTTAGAGTTGTACCACAATGTCCCAGGTGCTACCAAGAGGCCAGAGTGGATGTGGAGGGTGGTGGTATTAATTCTGAAGATCTTGTCAAACCCCATCCCATAATTTGACTGAAAAGGTTCAAGGATATATTTTATATATTGATGTGAAGTTTATATTTTATTACGAATAAATAGGTGAATATGCTGCTTGTTGTTTTTAAATTTTAAAAACTATCCTATTTATTTGTCCTTAAAGTTAGATATTTTGTAATCCTCAAAGAGATACAAAAATTGACTTTTGTGCATTTCCTAATTTTTAACTTGTATAGAAATTTTTTTATATATTAAAAAAAAACACTATTGTCAAATTTCAGTTGTATCTTCCAGATTTGTATTTATCTCATTTCTTATGAGACTACTTGCTACTATTGAATGTAAATCATTTTAGAAACATTCTTTAAAATTTTTGTGCATTTATTTCCACTTAATTAGAAATTCACAAAGTTTGTGAGAAACAAATATTTTGCCATAAATTAAGCGCATCTGTTAACTTCATATTCTATGGAGTTTCAAGAAAACATGTTTCAGTGTTTTAAACTATAGCTTTTTCTGTGTATTTCTGTGCCTGTTTTGTAATATGTGCACACTCAGTACAGTACTAGCTATTGGACTTTAAGAGCTATGAATAATTAAGACCTGTTCTTCCACTTTGAGGAAGATTAAAGCCCAGTAGGAATAATGTCAGTTCCTAAAATGCCTTAAGATTTTGCATTGCAGTATCGGAAAACCCATTTCTCCTTTGAAAACACGTAGATGTGCGATTTGTGAACTTAAGGTAATAATGGTGTGATTTAACATTCTGAAAATTAAATTTGGTGTAGGCTCAAAAGTTGCCTTCAATCTGTACAGTTGTCCTTGTCTTGAATATATTTACCATATCATAAAACACCACATTTTTAAAGCGTCATTGAAAGAGAATGTATACTGTGCTACCTTGCTAGGACTCTGGTAAAATAGAAAATAAAATTTTGCAGGTGAAAGTAATTTTCTGTTTCTAAAGTAAAGAATATAACCCAGAACACTTAGGATGGGATGCATACGTAGAGTTAAGTTTTTGTTTGGTTTGTGTTTTTTAAAGTTTCTTTATTTGAGAGAGAGAGAGAGAGAGTGAGCGAGCACACACATGAGTGGTGGTGGTGGTGGGGAATCCCAAGCAGGCTCTGAGCTGTCAGCTCAGAGCCCAACACGTGGCTCGATCTCACAACCATGTGATCATGAGCTGAGCTGAAGTCGGACATTTAACTGACTGAGCCACCCAGGAGCCCCACAGAATTAAGTTTTAAGTAGGAAGCATGCTCTTTCCAAAACTTACCTGCATGATTGTAAGATTTACTCTTCAGGATGTTCATTAATTCACTGCAAACATACGTATAATCTATAAGAAAATGAATCACTCCTGTGTTTTACACTCGATTGAAGTCTTTGTTTTTGATGTGACGTTGATCAATAACTCTGTCCTCTAGGACAATGGGAATATCATCATTTACTAGAAGCACTTGAAGTTTCCAGAACCCATGGTGACAGAAGGACAAGACAGCAGGGTGAGTAGCGGTTATGTTTCTCTTCAAACTATATCCTTTATATAATATCTTCTCTTTTATATCATATTTTGTCTTCTGTATTTTATAGAGTGTGTCAGCATTACTCTGAAAGCATGGTGAGCAGCCCCACTGTGTTACCAAATAGACCCAAAGTATAGTACAAGGTGGTTTGTTTAAAGTGGGACTAATTAAGGGTTTAGCAACTACTCAGAAACATAAGGAACTCCGACGGAAAATCTAGATATTTCCGGTTCAAAGGAAGTTATCCTGAGAGCCCAAGTACAGTCAGGAGTTCACTGTAAACATCTTTTACATTAAGTTCATTATGTTACATACAGAGTTTACTGTTCAGGCCCTCCTCCCCTTCTCTCGGTAGCTGTGTGCATGTCTGACTCAGCTCAACCAGAAAGAGTGAAAAGAGTTAATCACAGAGTCTATCAAGTCTCTCCCCAGAGAAGTGAAAAGCCAGTATTTTCTCTTTGAATACATTAAAACAAAGCAAACCTTCTCCCCAGTTTAAATGTATTATATTCTTCATTGACTGTCTCCTTCTCTTGGAGATCTTTCTGGCAGTAAAGCTGTAGACACGTTGCATCCATCACCATGTGTCAGAGGGCCACCAGGTCGATGGCTCTTTTTGAACTTTGCTGTTTCAGAAAACCGGAGCTGAGTGTTATAGGCAGAAGTTTGACATTTTCAGGGTGAAAATCAATTTCCTTTCATGTGTCTCTGAAGTGAGCTGCTGCTCTGATTGCAGGAGAAAGGGTCTGGCTTCTGGAATTTTGGGGTTGCAAAATAGGAATTAAGATAAAATTTGGCTAACAGTCACATCAGTGACAGCAAGGAGAAATGTATTTTAGCAGCCTCATAATGTTTTAAATCCATGGAGGGAGAATCAGAAATAGAAACTTAGGGAAATAAGCAGAGAATAATTTCTTCCCAATTGAGGTAGTAAGTAGTGAATGAAATTTTTATTTAAACTTTCGCTTAGTTAAAGGTATAACCTGGTGTTTCAGAAAAACAAATACTCTTAAAGAAGAAATACATCATTGTAATTTGCATTTTATGGCAATAAGTTTATATATAGTGTGTGTATATACATGTCTGCTTATTTTTTTTAATTCCTTTTGCTTTTAGTAGAGATATCTCCAGATCTCTAGTATCTCAGTAGAGTATCTCCAGAGAGATAGAGAACTCGTTTCTCTTAACTATGGCATGGGAGGCACTCATAAATATCTGCTACCTTAATACTTTAAAATATGAAAAATAATATTTTACAATGTTATATTTTTGTAATGTCAGTATAAATATGACATAAAGCGATTTTTGGATGGATTTATAATATTTTGAACATGTGAAGAGTTGAAATAACTTTTCTTTGTCTGTAATTATGACTTAACTTTTTTATGACTTCAATTTTTAAATATCTTCTCAAGTTGTAAAAGTGCTAACAGTACTTCTTCGTATACGTAAGATGTCTGTGTTAAGTATGTCGAAACGCATGTGAGGCTTTATATTTCACACAGTAGCTTAATTTCTCACGTAAGCCCATTTAAATTTCTGTGAAAGAACGTATTTCAGGTAATAAATTTTTCATGCAAAGGAGTGTAATTTTTTTTAAGTTATGATTCCATTTTGTTGATGAATGCATAGAAGCATGGGAGTAATCATAGAAAAGAGACAAACTTCATGTCCCAGAGTTTCTTACGATTTCCAGTTCAAGGTAAGTTCACAATGAATTTTCTGTCTCCGAGCGTTCAAGGACATGCGATGTAAATATCTTTTTGAAGAATGATTAATAACATGGATGTGTGTGTTTGCACGTGTATGTGGTAGATGGGCGGGCATTCCTGGAGCTCTGTCCAAGTTTCCAGCACACACACTCAGACGCAGCCATCCTCAGTTCTCTGCTGTGAGAATAAGTGTCTGTCCTATGCACCCCTGCACTTGATAAGTGCTCGTCCAGTGCACCTTCCCCCCACTACCAGCACTTATGTGGTAGGAGCGTGTTCAAAGGTCAAATAATAAAGATGAGGCCATTACAGTTCTCAGTACAGGTAAACTGGGTCATCATAGAAAAATATAGAACATATTGTGTTCGATATTTTGTAGAAATATGTTCTAATTATGTTCTAAAATGTAGAACATATTATGTGTTTTTAAATAAATTTAGGGAATAGTTTTGTCCTGATTTACAGAAAGGAAAACTGTTTCTCTCCTTGAGCCATCGGTACACTGTTGGTGTACAAAAAGTCAGAACACAATCGGGTTGGAAGGGACTTTATTAATTCGGCAGAAACTTTCTCAATATATACTTTCTCAATATATACTGCAACTAAGCTTTCTAAGATGTTACCTGCCCTATGCTCAGATGTATTAGTTAATTTCTTAAAGCATTTTGCATATCTTATGTAACTTTTTCAAATTATTTTTAGTTAAGCATCACATTAAATATATTCAACAGGTAAATTGTTCAAAGCAACGTTACTTTTATGGGCATCACTGGTAGTGTTCTCAGTTATATTCATAGGACGATGACGCAGAATACTGACCAAAGACAATATGTGAGACACTGTCATGAAGGGACTCTGTGGAACAGGGCGAGTCCAGGAGCATCGCTACGAGACTGTGACCCAGAGGTCCTTGAGTGGGCTCACGTGGGCAGGCTTTCCTTGTCAGAAATGTTGTTCCCTTGAAAGCCTCAGTTAGATGACACCAAGCCGAGGGGCTGAGATCCAAACTGGAGTCTGACTCCAGAATCGTAGCAGGTTCTACGGCGCGGTCTTTCCTCAAAAAACGGGAAGGCATCTGGGCTGGGGTGAGAGTTTGTACCTGGGTTGCGTGATTTACAAATCTGAGGCTGCATGTCTTTGCGTATTGAATTTGCCTTTGTGAGATCATCCCAGGTCGTCTCTTTGGAGTACACATGTGTCAGCTACGAGTATTTTTGTATCTGTTGGATGAAACGAATGGACTCACCAAATAATTTGTGCACACGTCTAAGCCCCTGGGAAAATAATACTTTTTATTGAGCTTCTTTTTCAGCCGTCAACCTGTTTACTCAAGTTGGAGAAATGGTTTGTTTAAAGTGGTATAAGTGAGGCCAAGTATATTTTGTAAAGGAAGCATTGAGGTTGAAGAAAGCAGTAATTTAAGAATGATAAGAAAATATAGCAAGAGGCGTCTACATCTAACGGGGTCTGTAATTGTGTAACCAATCACGTTAATGTACCTAAAGCCTGGTATTTCTGGCTCCCTTTAAATTACATTAAATAATTTTAAATCTTAGAGCATGGATTCTCTCCTCAAGTACATTTGTGGCTGTTTTGATGGTAATTATCCACATCACTCCAATAATTACCACACGAGGCGTGCTATAACTTCTACTTTAAGGAAGCATAAGCGGTCCTTGTATCATGGGCCAGGCGGTTTGCTAAGTGGCTTAATTGTATCAGAGGAAATCACTAGAATAATAAGTGAATTCACAGAGAGGTAGATATTATCAGATGAGAGCAGTACTGCAGTTTGGTTAAAAAAAAATATTTTCTTGTGGTTTTCTAAAGCTTCATTTGCCCACCTGGAGATCCCCAGATGCCTGGGCCTGAGATACAATCCATTAAATAGATGCCTGTCTGCAACCCATCTTGGGAACTCTGGGGCGATACGAAAATCGGCAACACACAATAGGAATACATATGGTATAGAACAGAAACCGCAGGCTCAGAGCTGTTCTGCCATTAAAAAGGAACCATGAAATTTTTTTTTTTTTTTTTTTTACTATTTAGGTGTTGTTACTTTTAACCTAATAGCAAGATTTTGTACTCTTTTTTTGTTTTTCCTATAAAGGACCAGATTAAATACTTGAGGCTTTGTGGGCTGTGTGGGTCTCTTTGGTGACTATTTGACTCTGCTTTTGTAGGACAAAAGTGGGCTTAGATCTTACGTAATAAACAAATGGGTGGCTGTGTTCCGATATAACTTTATTAAAACATCCTGTGGGCTGGATTTGGCCTGTGTGTAGAATCTGCCAGTCTCTGCTAATAAGATGCAGAGATACTTCTGGAAATTTCTATCATTTATCTCTATCATCCCTCTATCATCTCTATATATCTATATCTATATCTATATCTATCTATATCTATATGTATCAGAGAGAGAGAGAGTGATCAGAAGCATGTGGGGGCGGGGGGGAGGAAGGGAGAGAGAAAGTGAGAGAGAGAGGGAGAGAATCCCAAGCAGTCTCCATGCTCATCGTGAAGCCCAAGTGGGTTTGATCCCATGACCCAGGGATCTTGACCTGAGCAGGAATCCAGTCAGATGCTGAACCACCTGAGCCACCCAGGCGCCCTGGACATCTCTGTTCTTGAGAAAAGTCCTTTATTCATCTATAGCAAACCCTCTAGAAGTTACCCTTTCAGGATATAACCTGTCTTCATTGATAACTATCATCCCCGGTGAGTACGTAGCAGTAAAGAGGACATTGATGAAGGGAATCGCTTTTTATAGGAAACCAACTCTTTCAACCTGGCCACCCACACTGTGGCATTAATATTACCCCTGTGCTGGGTACTGGACAGCTAAGGAGGATGAGTTACATGCTTCTGTTTCCTCAGTGAGCGTTATGTCCACTGGGAGTGTTGGTGATAATTTTGCACAGGGCAGGGATTGCAACTGGCACCCAGAAGAATGGGAAAAGAGTGTGATGGTGTCACATGAACATTAAAATGTTTTCCGAGGAGATTAAAAGGAACGACAGCAACAAAAAGACTGGTTACAGGTGATGGACGAAGCGTAATGTAGGAGAGATCGTGCAGATAGGCTTGCAAAGATCATGCCCAGCCTTCAGCAGGCAGCACCACAGCAGGGGAGGATAGGGAGAGAACTTGGGTGCTGTTGTAAGGGTGTGGGCAAGGAGGAGCTGAAGCAAGGGGGAAAGCGGGTTCCTCCTGCAGCAGACAGTAGGTGGCAGAAGGTGTGAGACTGAAACCTAAGTCAGTACC